GGATTATGGACCAATAATGGATTTTTTCCCCATAATAATTACCAACATGCAGACTGAAGTTGTGTTGTATACTTGTAAGATATAACCAGTAAACTATCCCTGTAAGAACTTGTGTTTGGTCTGGAAGGATGATTCGCAATCTAGATATATTGTCATCGGTGGTATATTTCAGTTGAAAGTTGCATTGTAAATGAGCATGTAAATCCTGCAGGTTGGACGTTTGGATTGTCTGTAGCATACAGTGGGTACGGAAAGTATTCAGACCCCCTTACATTTTTCACTCTTTGTTATATTGCTGCCATTTGCTAAGTGTCTCTGAATGTGACAGTGGGTGTACATATAAGATCACAGCTGTGAAAGGTGTCTTTTTGTTGAGTGCAGCCAACAACGGGAGGAACAAATGATAAATTCAACGTGTACAGTCACCATGGAGACCACTATTAGGATGACAAGGACACTACATTATGTGGGAGCGGAGATGTCTCGTAGGTTCATGCCTCTTGGTAAGCTTTTAATTAGTTGGGGAAAAAAATACAAAACTTAAACAGAGAGACCAGGGTCTGCTGATTTACCTTGGATTGAGGTACTAATAGAACTGTCAAATTAATTGTGTTTTCTGTGATCAAACACAGACCCATTGGACAGAAGTAGGAGGAGGGAGAGAGAAAGACAAACACAGAGAGACAATTACTAGTCTAGACATTACATATTATAAATTATTTATTTTCTGATCGAGTTTATGAAATTAACTGGCTCACGAAAGGCTGTGGGAATCAGTCATTTTTTTGTATCACCCTGTCTTTGGAAAACAGCAACAAACAGGCAGTTTGTTTGTCATATCTGACTCAAATCTGTTTAGTTGTTTATAATGTCTACAGCTACGTCTGAACTCATTTTACTCATATATAAGGCTTCACTATGTAGTGAATATTGAATGAGTAACAAACAAGCACAGTATGATGAAAATTATAATAATAATGCCTTACATTTATATAGCGCTTTTCTGGGCACTCAAAGGGCTTTACATAGAAGGGGGAATCTCCTCAAAATATCCTCTTGAGTTTTTAAAGACACGGGGAGAGGCAAAATTCACATTTTCTTTGCTTTTCCTCTCAATTGCTGTAAAAGAAGTCTCTTGGCAACTTACGGAGCTTAAGTCAAAAGGAAAAATTTAATAAAACAATAAAAATAAATTTAAGCTATATATGTGTGATTTTATTTATATAAGTATTATTTTAGTAACATTGAGATGTTATTTTAGTTTCGTTATTATTTTGAATTATATTTTGAGCTCTCATATTAATTTTTGTTAAAGTTTTAGTAATTTTGTTGTTTTTGTCATTTTTATTAGTTTTTGTTGTTTTTAAATGTCTGTATAGTTTTTATTAATTTTTATTTCAGTTTTATTTATTTTAGTAAATCAAGTTAAACTAAATGAAAATGTGAAATGATTTGAGTAGAGTTTGACTTGAACATGTTGCTAACCTACATATAATGGTATGATTCTCTAGTAAGCATAATAAACACAGCACAAACAAATTCCATAATATGAAACTTTTTATATATATATATATTATTTTTTTCAATATAAAATGAAATATGTTTATAATGTCTGCCATATAGATTTATTTATTTTAACTGAGCTCTGTGCAATGCATTCTGGGACTGCACTCTCTGTGAACAATGCATTTGATGCTTATCATATTAAGATATTTATCTTAAGAGGCAATGTAATTAAGAAGCCTATGGAAAAGCCGAGAACGCAGCTATGGTGACTATGACTAGGTTTTGGAACAGAGCAACAGTTCCTCTGTCAGCACAGTCAGGCTCTGACCACTCCCATGCTTTCCATAAGGCTTATTCAACAGAATATAATGAAAAGGTGTTGACATCTGATGAATGCACATGCTACAGTACTTCCTCCCTGCTTCTTTCTTTCTACCATTGTCTTTCTCTCTCTCTGACACACTTTCTCTCATTCTATCACCCTTGCACACACACACATACACTCTTTTTTTTTCCATCGCCTGCATGGAGCACAACTGTACTTTCGCATTCTGTGAGTAATTGGCCGTTGAGGATGGACACTGACAGCTCAGTGTGTGTGTGTTTGCTGTTTTATTTATAGTAGACCTCAATATAGGGCTTCTACTTAAGTGTACTACTTCACCTAGTCATCTCAACTGATATAAGTGTACACTACCCAGTGTACTGTATCTGTAATTGGGGCAAAAAAAAAAATCACAGTGTTCCACACAGGCACACCCTAAAGGCTATTGAAGATCATCAGAGTCATCAAACTGTATTTTACATTTCCCCCCTCTGCTCATCATCTGTGCTTCCTAAATCATTTGTTTCTATTGAGGATGGACACTGACAGCTCAGTGTGTGTGTGTTTGCTGTTTTATTTATAGTAGACCTCAATATAGGGCTTCTACTTAAGTGTACTACTTCACCTAGTCATCTCAACTGATATAAGTGTACACTACCCAGTGTACTGTATCTGTAATTGGGGCAAAAAAAAAATCACAGTGTTCCACACAGGCACACCCTAAAGGCTATTGAAGATCATCAGAGTCATCAAACTGTATTTTACATTTCCCCCCTCTGCTCATCATCTGTGCTTCCTAAATCATTTGTTTCTATTCACGTTTGAGGGAGAGAGAGGAGAAATGTCTTTTCATTCATCTTTTTGTGCTGTTTTGCAATAATAACCTCAATCTGGATTCTGGAATGATCTACTGGGTCATTGGACTATTGCAATTTCCATCATCATTTTTATTAGCTGCATCCATTTTTCCCCTCTTTTTACAGTTGACTATTATTAGCGGGTCCTTTCGTGCCCTTAAACTGTTCTGCTCATTAATTTTAAGCAGATTAAGTGACATCATGGAATGCCTCACTGTCTCGCCTTACATTTGTTGTGTGCGGTTATTTGCTATAAGTTTAGGTTATTACTTGGTTTCTTCAATTCTCTGTGCAGTTCTCTATTTTTCTGTGGTGAGGTAGAGGTGCTGTAATTCTTCAAATTAGAATTAGTTCTTTCTTTCTTCTTTGTCTTCTTTTTTTAATGGCCCAACTGGGAAGGAAGTGGTAATAACCTTTATTGGTGTTTTTATTGCCTCTTTAACGAAATGTAAAATTCAGCTGTATCTTTTACAAAGTAGTATTTTGATGGCCCAATATGGGAGAAAAGAGATGTTAAATGTTAAACTCTCTTCTATGGGTAATTTACAGAAACGCTTGTATGACAACAAAGGACAGAAACTTGGAATATACAGTACATTGAATTCAAATAATGATGTGCCATGTTTCAGGAGAGTACAAGGCTTAGTTCTGGGTGCTTTAAAGACAAATGCACACTGCATTACTCCTGCACAAATATCTCTGAACTCTGACAGCATTGTTCCACTGATCATGTCATGTCTATTTGTGACAATTTGTGTCGTTACCAGGCCAACAAGTACATTCTCTAGCAACAAGCCTGTGAGTAGATCTTGCACAGGCACCGGAAGAGTGACTTTTAAACACCAATTATCTCTGAGCTCAAAGTCAACTGAACAAGCTCAGATGCTCCCAGAATAGAGACAGGTGCTGTTATAAGTGAAAAAGATGTTACAATGCTTGAAATGGATATTCCTCAAACATTCTGGGCTTTTCTTTATTTGACGTGTAAATAAACTTCACACTGAAACATTCAGGACGGGACTTTTATTTACAGGTGCATCTCAATAAATTAGAATGTCGTGGAAAAGCTCATTTATTTCAGTAATTCAACTCAAATTGTGAAACTTGTGTATTAAATAAATTCAGTGCACACAGACTGAAGTAGTTTAAGTCTTTGGTTCTTTTAATTGTGATGATTTTGGCTCACATTTAACAAAAACCCACCAATTCACTATCTCAACAAATTAGAATATGGTGTTTATTGAAGGAGAGAGGTTGAAAAGTAAAAGGGCGTCAGCGGGAAAGGAACTTGTTTCAGAGACCTAGCTTTTTATGATGTTTTTCTTTCTTTCTTTCTATTTTGCACTAGAATAGCCTAGTTCACTGGGCCTTTGTTAAGAAAATAAATTCTCAAGCTAACTTTTCATGTGCTTTCTGAGAAGGAACTACATGAAAGAAAGTCCTCAACGCGAATGCGTTTTTAAGATATTTTACGTAGTGAACAGTTTAAACTTTTGATGAAAAGTGTATGTAAAAATGAGAGGAAAATGCTTTCAACTCCCTTTTTTAATCGCTCGTTGATTGACAAAATGTACGTTAATATTGACGCTATTGTAACCTAGTGTCGAAGAAAACCAAAGGAAACCTATTCAAATCATATTTGCAAGTCTATAAAGGTTTTTTGTCTCGCTTTCAGATGAATTTGCGCACTGAGTGTCGGCTGGAGAGGCAGTTCGCGCTGTGGTGAGGGGTGGCCAGGCGCGCGTGCCAACCTTAAACAAACCACATCTGCGCCTCACAGCGCACACAGTGAAGATGGAGCTTGTTGAACACTGTCGCTGACGCGTGGAAAGACTAAAAAAGACACTAAAACATTTCAATTAAGTAAGTGAGATGGAAGAGTGACGAAGGAGTTCAAAACAGACCCGGGGAGATTAAAAAACGATGGCTTTTTAGTTTTACCACGGTGTACAGAAAATGGGAGCTGATTTCTACGGTTCCTCAGAAAAGAGTTTGCTCTCTTCCTGCTAAAAAGAACATCTTCATGGGATGTACGACTGGATATTCGGATTATAAACGGTTTTATTCCCCATTTTTCTTTCAGGTAATGTTACTTTTGGTGTTTTGGCGATTGTAGGGATGTCTGTTGGAGTAAGCTACGTGTTGCGCGTGATTTGAGGATTTATCGGTCGTTTAATAAATCGTCGTTTGTCATAGCAGGGAAACTCTTGCAGTTTGGATGAATATTTGCACTTCAATGTGTGGAAGTAAACGTACCTCTTTTGCACCTGTTTACAAAGGGGCTTAGATTTCTCTGTTTTTGCTCCACACAGAATGGCTCGCTTCGGAGACGATGTTCCCGGTCTGCTGGGAGCCGGGGATGGGGGTTCGGAGCGCAGTCGGAACCGGGATGCACCGGCGGTATCCACAGGTGGAGTTTCACCAGCCTTCAAACAGACCAAAGCGCAACGAGCCCGAACCATGGCCCTGTACAACCCCATCCCGGTCCGACAGAACTGCTTCACCGTCAACAGATCGCTCTTCATCTTTGGAGAGGACAACATCGTTAGGAAGTATGCTAAAAAGATCATAGAATGGCCATATCCTTTTGTCAAAACGGTAAAACACACCCTGCCTCCTAAAAACACACGCTCGGTGTTGACAGCACATGCAAATGTGTTGTCAACACGTATTTACATAAGCATATGCAACTCCTGTGTTCATTTCTGCTGATCTGAAACTCAAAATTGTTTACTCGAAATCAAACTTATAGGTTAAATTTGTTACAGTCCCCTCAAAATCTCTACCTTAATTTGAGTTCAAGAGTTTTTGTTATAGGACTTAAAGACTCACAAAAAAGACTATTAATTAAAAAAATTTGAATGTTTATCACACAACAGGTGTATTCAAGTCTTTTTCTTTTGTATGAATTGCATGTTCATAAAATTTATAATTCATAAAATGCATTTATAAAAAAATGACAGATCTATAAGTTAGTCAGAAATACATATTCAAAATGTAATTCATGCAAATAATGACTCTTCGAATACAGTTCGATATTTTTGTGGGGCTTAAAGTCAGAAATATATAACTGTCTGAGTATTGCAAAAAAATAAGTGAAAAAGAAAAATAAAGCAGTTTTTTGTTGTTTAAAAATATTATTGATAATTTAAAGATACGATTTCTGCCAGTCATTAAAACGTTTTTTTTTTTGCATACTCACATGCCTTCAGCACTACTAGACTAGTTTTTAGTCATTAAATTGAATTTTTGTAGATAATTGTAATAATAATAATATATTATTAGAATATATTTTTTCAATACAAATATTACATGTCTAAGAATTTATAGATTTATTTTTTAATCATCTCTGATCTTTCTCACTGACTCACTAACATAGTGATTTGCATGTGCAAGATCTGCTTACAGACTTGTGCATGAGATTGTACTCATTGACCTGGTAATGACACAAAAGTAAAAATGTATGCATTCTGTTTGTAAACGCATGGAACATTTCAAAATACACTTCCTGGTGTTATGCACTACATAATTCATTGAAGTGACTTGCTTTCAGGACCATGGACAGAGACAGTGAACGTTCCACTATGTTTTCAAACTCAGAAAAAAGTAATATATCAGAGGCAGGGCTTTATAATTCAGGGTTAAGAAAAACATGTTTTAGCATTCCAAATTCCAATCTGTGATTAGACACTTTTATTGATGATGAGGTTTATGTTTTGTTGTGAGCTCTCTTTGTAATTAATGCCCTGTCAGGATGGTTCCTAATGATGAAGAGACATAAACAATCGTTGATGATTTTGTCAGGAGAGGGAGGAGAGATCTACCACATAATCCCTACAGGAGGTGTTTGGGTTTGCATGTCATTGATTACAGACTTCAAAGTGCCATGTTGTGATTAAAAAAAGCCTTCTCTATGATGCAAATAAGATGAGTCAGTGACAGGAGATGATAAGCCCGTCGACCATAGTTGTCACAGGTGCGCACTACTGGAACAATTGTTGTTTTTTTCATTTGCCCTTTTTTTAATGCCACAGCAGACGGTCCAGACATGACTGTGTGGCTTAGCATTTACGTAAATCAGGCAGAGCTCAGTGACTAACTGTAAAGAAGTAAAAGCCTTGCTGTAATCCAGTTATTTTTGTAATCCAGAGTTTGCTGGTTTAAAGCATTAGTGTTTGAGTTTTAAAGTCATTTTAGGGAAAGTAAGAGTGTTTTTTGACAGCCATTGTCAGGTGGAGCACAATGCATATTATGTAGATATTACAGGGTTTCGGTGGGTCTTAAAAAGTCTTAATTAGCCCTTCCATAAATTAAGGCCTTAAAAATTCATCATATTAAATGTTGCATGCATTGCTAAAAGAAAGTAATATCTTCCTCAGTATTTCTGTCTTGTTTTCCAATACAAATACCTAAACATCCTTAAATCAAGATACATTTACTTGAGTTGCAAAATGAAGATAGTAAGTCTTGTTTTCTGAAAAATGTATAAAAATTAAGTGAGTTTATGCTTAAAAGAAGAACAAATATCTGTCAATGGGGTATGGAATTTGTTCTTGGTTTAATCATAACTTCCTTTTATCAATTTCACAGAAAACAAGACTCTTTATCTTATATAATTTGCTTATGTAAATGGGTCTTGATTTAAGAATCTTCAAGCATTTGCACTGGAAAACAAGAAAAATACTGAAGAAGAGTATCACTTTTTTGCAGTGTGATCAGAAGGTGCAATAAAAGTTATTCCCATATTCTAGTGAAGAAAATGGGCTGTAGCATTAATTCACCTTTGCTAAAAACTTCAACACCCATAATGCACCTTTTTACTTTTTTGTGCCACCCATCTACTGATCCAGTTGTCTGTGGGCGGGAATACAAAAATGCGGAAATTTGATCTCTAGTTTTAACAAGAGCTCTGGAGCTGTCAAAAGTTTGTTGGTTTATTTGTTTTGTGTCATCTGGCAGACTTTTGGTGACAAATAAATGAGGATATCTGGATGCATGTAACATGGAGAAAGAGTACACATTGTTCATTTACATATACTACTGACATAGCAAAAATACAAAACTGGTTGAAAATTTGCCAACTTACCCTTTTAACAGCCAAAAATATAGCGTTATGATTATTTGTTTGTTTATGTTTTAAAAAGCTCTCTTTCAGTAACATTTGATGTTAAATTTGAAATCAGAAAAGCAGCTATTTCCTCAAGTCTAAAAACAAACGTCTAAATGCCAAATGAGTATGCATGCTAAAAAGAGAAACATCTCACTATGCAGGCGAGGGCTTTAAAGTGTGAAACAATCTGAGCTTTACACAGAGGTGTCATTTCCAAAGAAGAGAGATGATAACGTGTCAGTGGACAGTATGTGTTTCCATGCTTTCAGCTGACTCTAATTCTTGCCTTGTGTTGAATGTCATTCCTGTTGTTTTAAGTGTCATGAAGGAATGAAATTAGAGCGGGCACATGCTGCAGTCATGTGACAAAAGGTTTCGTTGTTTACTGATGCCTGTTGTAAGACAGTAACATGCTTAATGTTAAAAGCTGTTCAGCAACCTAATGATGAAGAAAGAGCGAATGAGGCTGGTGATATAATGGAAATGTGCTTGTCTGTGTTGATTTATACGTCTTTGTGCTTTCCCTCTTTTATTTGTGACAGCGTGACTGTGTGTGTGTGCCTTCATGGTAAATTCAATTATAGCATCTATCTGGTCTTGGCTCTCTTGTGTACCTAATGGCCCACTTGCGACATAATGCAAGTGTCAGTGTCTGTGATCACTTTAGGCAGATTTTAAGCATATGGTCACACATCTCTCGCTCTTAGAATGAGAGCTTCAGGGGACTGAAGAGACGGAGGCTCTGCTAATGGTGCTGTAATGACTTGGCGTTGCCCCAAAATAAATTCAAGAGTCTGATCCTCAGAGAAAGGAGCAAACTACATCCCTATGGGTGTGATACTCAAGTGTATTACAAGAAAAGCTCAACAGCGTAATTAAATATATGTTGTAGACTCATTATGTTTTGGATTTGGAGACATTAATAGCCAATGGTAACAAGTTGCCAGTTTTTTAAATCACTTTAGAGCTGTTCACACTCGTGTGAGGAATAGCTTTCAAGAGTTTTGTTCCAAAACCCAGCAAACAGAGGGAACATTTTTAAAGCATCATAAGCGTGGCACTGAGTCAAAATCTGTTCTAAAAGGTAGGCGTCTTAATTATGCTGCCTCTTAAGGTACCTTGTCTTGATCAAGGTGTCTAAGGTTTCCATTGCATACAGTATATCCTTCACTTACAAAACAATCCCATAATGCATTGTAAGAAACTCTGTGAGATTCTAAGGTGAGAGAAATGTTGATTATAAATACATTTAACTCAGTGCTGAAAAGCATAAATAAAAAATAGTTTTGTTACCCAATGTTTTTTTTTTTTGTTAAAGGGGTCATCGGATGTGACTTTTACAAGCTTTTTGAACTGAAATGTGTGTTGGCAGTGTGTGTACACAACCACCCTATAATGATAAAGATCTACCCAGCATTAATCTCGTTAAATAATTTCCCCTTTCTCAAATCGAGCCGATCTCAGATGCCTGTCTGTGTGACGTCACACAGACAGGCCCCTCCCACGATAGTTGATTGACAGTAGCGTTTCAGCACAGACTGGACTGGTGTCTTACCTCAGACCCGCCCTGAGTGAGCTGTCATCAGTACGCCATTGTTTCACCACGGAGCAGATTTAGACAAGAATGACTGTTGTTGGATGAACAAAGCAGTCGTCATTTACTCCCGACAGGGCAGGGTGCTGAAGACGCAGTGGAATATATTTGTTTCTAAAGGGACTGCGCCCCCGATCTACCTAAATGCGTGTATGTTTGTGCGAATCATTCGTGATCCAGCTTCACCTCCAGAAGTGAGTGTAAGGTTTTTTTAATTAATCTTTGCAAATCGCCTTTCCTAATAATGTGCTAGTTAGCGAGTTTTACGATGAATGCAGCTAAAGTTTACCGTCTCTCAGAGAGTGGCTCGGAAGAGAGGGGCGGGGCGAGCAGATCTCATTAGCATTTAAAGCGGAATGCAATAAAACAGCGTGCTGTAGACAGAGCTGTTTTTGACAGGGTAAAAACTGTGTTGTTTTACACTATCATTGAGACATTTTAACCAAACTATGTTACAGACTTTTCATTAAGACCCTAAAGAATCATATCATCTTGTGGAAAATGGGTATACGATGACCCCTTTAACAAACAGAAACATACAGTATAGAAGAATCACAACAAACTAGAGTGTAAAAAACTAAAACAAATATCGAATTAGTTCAAATAAAATAAAAAGTAATATAAGCTGAGAGAAGAAAAACATAATATATTTTTTATGCTTAATAGAGTATTGCGTGATTAGTTTAGCAGCATACTCTATTGAAATTGTGATAGTTGAGTAAAGATAGTTCTGTTGAATAAAAGTGAATTATTTTACTTGTGTGTGTGTGTGTGTGTGTGTATTTTTATAATTATTAGACTTTGCACTATAAGATTAGAAACATGTTGTTGCCCAAATCTATTGAGATTAGTTGTATAGTAAGTCAATTGTCTTT